GTAAATATTTAATAATCGAATAAAATTTCCAAATATTTTATTTTCTCGTTACTGTTATTTATAAATCATAATTTGATGAGCATCTTATGAAGAAATTCGTAAATTTTCCCTTCAAACTAAAACCAAAAATGTGGTACACGTCGAACGCTCGCTTTAAATGACTATCTCAAATGACTATCATGTTTTTACCCGACAGGCTGTCCCTTATTTACCCTATCGCGTTATTACAACAAAATCGATCTGACCCGAAAGCCGTTTAAAACGCACGAAAATATCATCCGGGTTTCGATGAAAACATCCGGGCAAATATTTGTCGATCGTTGGTGATTAAAAAACCTCTCCCCCGCGAAAATATTAGCCCCCCCTCCCGTCGAAAATGTCGAAATTTTGCAATTCCGTGTTTGAAACGAAAAGGTCTCGAACGTTTCAATCGAATTAATTAATTTTGAACATTACTTCATCGATTATTTTGATTTTTTACGCGAGCAATTTAATTGAGATTGGAAACTGGTGGAAGCGTAGACGTCGAATAATTATTTATTGGCAGTTTGAAATTTCGTTCGTTTAATGCTCTCTTGTATTTTTGTATTATTCACAATTGTGTGTCGATAATTTACTTACTGGGATAATTTTTATTAATTTTGTTTCTTAAACAAAGTTTTTTTTTATAATATAAATATACAATAAATTTACAAATTGTTTTTCGATCGTTAGAATTTACAATGAATCACACTATATTGAATTAATTTGTTGAAACTTGTCATTCTAAAAAGAATATAAAGAAAAATCTGACCGCTGAAATCTCATATTCCTTCTCTCGCAATATTGAGACATTCACCGAAACTTTCACATAATAAACTACTTTAATCTTTCCATTAACTCTCTTCCCCATAACGTAACTGTAACATAATCTATACATATTCTACACAGAAGATCAAACGATTATCTGTCATAAATCAAACCTTCCACACATCCATCACGTAAATCTGTTTTAACAAATCCATTAGAAAAAAAAAAAAAAATCAAAGCCTCGCTTCCTTGCCTCAAATTCCATACCATGTCGTAACAAGAACGATTGGAAGAAAAGAAATGAATGAAGAGAAATAAGAAGAACACGGGCAGGTCTGCAAAGAAAAACGACCGATACTCGTGTCGTGAAATCGATACAGCATGGTTCGATGGCGCGAATTACGAGTCCAACTCGATTATCCACGGTGCATTTGGACAGGTGTGTTCTCGAATCTTTTCGTCCCGTATAAAAGGCCGCAGGGCAAGATGAGGTTTGCGGCCGACACGACGCCCCACGGGTCTGGATCTTCGAACCGGTCCTCGGAGGACGTTTATACTCTCGTCCCTGAACGTTTCATTCTGTCAGCGTCCCGTGTGAACGGCTTTTCTTCGTTCCACTTTCGACCCGAGATTTTCTCCGCTCGTTTCAATGCGTGACAACCTATGTGTATACGCGCTGTTTACAGGCGAGGAGAAAATTATTAAAATTATTGGAGGATATCGTGAGACTTGTCGAAGATGTTATTGTATGATATATTTAAAATTTCTACGAGAAAATCAAGGTATTAATTTTGATTGATTGTTGTGTTTTTACGAGATTAATAGTTACTTTGAGTTTTTTCATAAAACGTACACACATATACATAGGTGAGAGATAAATAGAAAAAAAGATGTGTGAATGTTAAAATATGTTATAAAAAACGTCTCACAATATAATAACTCTCTAAATATTTTCGAGACTTGCATTGGAAAGGAACGATTTGAACGCTACTCAATTCAATGTCCCCGAGTGAGGAAGCGAGGAGAATTATTTACCGCGAGCAAATATTTTGAGAAAGTTGAGGAGGAGGAGTACGGTGTACCGTGAAGAAATCGGTGGAAGTCACTTGAAGATCTTGTATCTGATAATTTCGAGCCCGCCACACGCATAATGAGACGAAACTTTGATCTCGTTTCACGTTCGTCATATCTTTTCGTCTCATTTTACGAAACATCCCGTGAAATAATCGTTGATGTTTTAACGTTTCTCTCCCGTTCCAAAAACGGGATTATTTTCCATAAATTCGTTTCCAGTCCCAGGGTATTTTAATCTCTGAAACGTTGCCAATCTCATCCATTTATTTATCCGTTTGCATTCTCTTGCTTTTGCCTCTTCGTCGTCGTTAGCTCTCATCACTTTGCCTCGTTTCATCTTAATAAAGATTTAAATTAAATTTCGAGAACTGTTGGATTATTCGAAGAATTTATTTCACGTTTCTTGAAGTCTTGTGTAATTTTTATTTATGTATATATATATATATTATTTTTTTTTGTTCTTGAACGATGATTACGGTTATCTGTTATCGAGCTCTCGTTGTATCTTAACGGGAAGAGATCTCGTTATAAAAAGAGCGGAGGAAAAGTAACGGTGGAAGAAAATGGACGAAAATTGAAAGCGGAAGAACAAATGACGGGTACTCTATTCTATAATACAATGTAACACCCTGTTATTTGTTCCTAATTTCTTTTTCTTCCACTTCTCTAAACACTTCCTTCCTTCTCTTTGCACAATGAAATCATTTTCTGGCAATTGTATTGATGATAGGTTGAAAGAAGAAAAATTCTTTCCACGGGAGGAGTGGTGAGAAAAAATAGTTAATTTTTTCTAAAAATTTATCTAAAAATTTGGTTGAATGGAGATTGAATGGAGATAGAGGATGAAAAGTAGAAAGTGTATTACTTAGTAACCTTGAACACAGTTGATTGACTTCTTATAGGCTACAGTGCACACAACTTCTTTAATTAAGACTTGTTACGAGGGCAACTTAATTGGTTTCAAGTACAAGGCTTGTTTCAATTGCTATTTCGCAGTTTAACGATCATGAAGCGACGTATGTACATTTTAATTAGAGAAATTGTTTAGAATTATAATATTGTAACATCAATTTGTATACAGAAAATATATATTTGCTAGAAAATATTCCAATTTCTATAAAAATATAAATTAAACGGTATTTTGATTTATTTAGAAGCTTAGAAACAATGTATGGTATACATATATTCGTATATGTATATTTTGAAAATTTGTTTTATGTTTATGTTTCTACTGCTGTATTTTATTACTGCATAAAAAGTATGATAAATCTATTTTTATTGACTTTATGATTTTCATACTTTTTTCATGGCTCAGAAGGAGAACTTTACTTTATAAAATATTTAAAGAGAGGGAAAATTCTCTTTAAAACTCAAAGATGTAATATCAACAAAAAATAATTAATAAATTTGTAAAGTTTTATAAAAACCAAGGATATAATTAATATTTGAAATGCATTTAAAAATATATATACGTATAATTAAAAAAAAAAAGAGAAGTTTAATAAAATAGATTTAACAATACATTGAATTTTTATAATATTTCTAAATTCTATTGGTTGTCATTACAAATTTTCTTCTTCTAATCCTTAGGTATATCTTCATTATTAAAAAAATATTTCATTAAAAAAAAAATTATTAATTTCTAATTTTCAAATCAAAATACAAAACTACATGTAAGATAGAAATCAAAATTCCTTGAAATTATTTAAAAAGTACACATATTTTTGCTATTTTCTTCATTTTTGCTCGAGCAATGCGAATAAAAATGCGAAACGAAAATGGGAGTAAGGAATGAAATTTACCTGTATATCGGTGCGTCTGCTTCCTCCTTGTACCAAATAACTAGATGCAGCTTGTCCCCGGGGACTGGAGGTTCCACGTCGCATGGTAACTGAGCAATTCCACCTGCCACTGCCTCCGCATCTGTCATTGTCACTGTAATGACAAAGACGAGCCGAAAGTCAGGTACATCATATGACGAGAGGAGAGCGTGACTGGAGTTCGCGTCAAATCGTCTGGCTTTAACTATCGTGTGGAAAGTTATCGATAAAATTTTGTGTCCAATCGAAATTGTTATCTTTGATTTTCCTAGGTAAATGATCTGAATACTATCTGAATAGCAAGTGACGAGAAGAATTTTTTATTGATCATGATGATAAAACTTCATTTTTGACGAGTACAATTTTTCTTTTATCTTTGATTAGCTTATAATTAGTAAAAAAAAAAAAAATTTAGATTTTGAAATTTGGAAGTTCATCTTCATTTATTGAAAAAAATTTAATCTTGTAATGATATTTATTCTTCTGAAAATTGAATTAGATTTAAGTAGAGAATAAGAAGAAGCAGAATAGTTGTGTTAGAATTCTAAGAATATCTCAATTAATTCATCATTACCCTGTTATTAAATACTAAATTATTTTAAAACAATATAATCAAGCAACAGCTAACGATATATTACTCAGTAATTATCCCATTTGTCAAAACCTTGGCGCCCTTAATTGCCATCTTCAATCTTTTGAGATTGCACAATTAAAATGTATCTTCTAAAATTCTTCTAAAGACCACCCAATACTTATAAGAATTTAACCTTCTTATCTTATTCGTTTTGCATTTACAAATTTTAATTCTTTAAAATTTGCGAACAATTTTCTATACGTTGTGCCTTATACGGTGATATTAATTTTTATAAACGTATAATAATTATTAACATTGCGTGTAACTAATTTAGAAAATTAGACGGAATCATCTGAAGTTATTTTCAATTAAATATACCATGTTTCAAGAGAACTGTGCTAATAATTATATCCGACTAAATGACTTCTAACATTAAACCAAAGTTCTAAACTCAACAACATGCATGCAGCCTGTATACACGTTCGTGTCGTAAACATCTGCATTACACGAAATGAATAAATCTTTCATATTACCGTCGAATATTAATTTTCGTTATTCATTCGGGTGACCGCGTTGATTCACGTTGGCTAACGATATCGTGGCTCGTTACAGGATTGAATAAAAGAAGAATAGAAAAAGAGATGGAAAAAAAAAATGGAAAAGAAAGTGCAATTAGAGTCATTAATCAAACGTAATTGTAGCAATTAACCGGGCCGCTCTGAAGTCTACCGGTCTCTCTATACTTCGTGTGGCATGTGTATAATTTTCCTTAATAAGACTATAGGCGAATAGAGACTAAGTGTAACGTAATACGGTCAAGATACTTTGTTAATGACAATTAGACGTATTAATTTACATTTTTTATTCGTTCTATCCCTTTTATCATTTGCATACATTGCTAAGAAAGAATTCTAATGTAGTAACATAATAAAAAAAAGTAATGTAATAACATTATTCGTCATTCTATAATAATGTTTAAAAAATGTAGTTTCAATAAAAAAAATAATACTTATCCTTATTTGATATTAATTTATAAATTTTAAAAAATTAACAAGAAATTTTTTTATAAATAACATTAATTACAGAGTTTTTTTTTTGTCATTTTAAATAATATGTGTCAACTCTTATTTGCTTCAATTTTAATCATCCTTAATTACTCATTGCTTTATTTTATCTTATTTATCTATACAAATAAAAGTTGAATCGAGTGAAAATATATTTTCTCCGAAAATATTATTTAAACAAAAAAAAATATTGAAAAAAACTTCATTACGTTTTATGTATCAGTCATTTAATGAAAACGTATGAACGCAATTTTTCTGTCATTTCAAAAACTTCAATTAACTTTTATAATGGTTATTTTGAATGATGTACTTTCTAAATATTAAAAAAACACGAGAATCATACCGTGCAACTATTTACAATAATTTGACACTCGTGTAGTTGAGACTAATCTCTCTTTCTCTCTCTCTCTTTTTTTTTTCTCTATCGAGGGAAAAAACGAAACGTATCCAAAATACGATAACAAATTCGATATCGTGTATCCATCGGCTGAATATTGAAACGTGTCAATGGCATGTCAAATACTACCAAATTGACTATTTATGAGACCAAAGGGTGGAAATTTCGTTTCCTGGTTTTTTTCATCGGAAATTGTATTGCCTTTTCCACTATCATGGCCGAAGCTCGTGGGAAAACCATGTATGAGTGAATATTCAATTTGAGAAGATAGTGAATTAACAATTTCGTGGAAAAATTTATCGAAATAGGAAATAACATTTCATTTATAAATAGAAACATTTAGAAATATATCTATCAAGTCGCATCATTTTGATATTTGCAAAGGAATTTCGAGCTGTTGGAAATATTTATTTATTCTATTTTAAACAAAATTTATATTGCAATTATCTTTGAGAAAAGATAATACTATTTCAAGATTTCGATTATTTTTACTGCGGTTATCTATTTTAAATTCCTATCTCTTTGACAAGGCGGTATTCTCAGACGATACAGCCGATTTGTCACGGAACGCCGACAATGACGGATTTCAGGTCAGCGATAGACGAGAATGACCGATTAATCGATGGCTATTATGCGCAATTAATTACCTGATAGAACGCTTCTCTACTTATCATGCAGACAAGAACGAAAGACGTGAATGTAACATCATGTTTGAAATATGATGTTAAGCGAATTATCACTTGTGCCAATTTCGTATCTGATATTTCTATATTTTATCGTAATCGTTTTTTTTTATTATAAATTTATTTAATATGTATTCTTAATCTCTTGTTACATAAACGTTACATTTTAGAAAATTGCAGTAACAGAAGTTATATAATACGATACGAATATTTTAATAAAGAAAATTGAAATTTATTTAAATGATATTGTTAAAATTAAAATTTCTTAATAAAAAAATTCAAATGGGATTTTATATATCGTGGTGATAATATTATCGAGTCGCAAAGTACAATTTTATTGAATCGCAAGAAGGGTATCTTTTTAAAGAAGATTTTCGAAGCCATTGTGCAATAGATAGATTGGAGTGCATCTCGTAAAAGTTTCACTACGTCCTCTTGATCGATTGTTCGGATAGTATTGGAATTCTAATATCCGATCAATAAAATGAAAACTAGTGTCTTCTTTCTTCTGTACCGATTCGCTATGTACACAACGTGGTTATAAATACTCACAAATTGAATCTTCTATAATTTATAAATAGTTCATAGCATTAAATGATTGTTATTTTTATTATAAACTTTTCAATTTGTATTATAACATCCGTGTTATACATCGAGCCATATTATTTGAAATTTATTTGAAAAATTTATAAATTAAAAATTAAAAATAATCTTCTGTTCTATAAATAATACATCTATAACAATTATATAATAAATATTAATAAAAAAAATTCAAGATAATGAACAATATCCTTCTGCCTTTTTAAAAATACAAATCATCGATCATTTTTACTATCATCTTCCAACAAATATTATAATACGAAACATTATAATTAACTAACTAAACTACAAATATATCTATAGCAGACGATTGAAACTTAAATTAAATAAAAAAAAATAATTGAAATTTTTGAACAATATCTCTTTACCGAAATAACGTTGAACAATGGTCATTTTTATCACCGCCTCTCGATTCACATTAACAGCCTCGTGTTACGCGTGAAAACATGAACGATTCGCGGTCCAACCGTGCAGGATCAATAATTTGCACGCATAACGGATGGCCAGTAGTCAACAACGGTTCGCAACGTTAATTAAAACGCAACTGGGTGGCTGTCAAGAATATTCAGCCGCTCGTTGAGTCGTTAACTCGCTTAAGTGCGTTCCTTCGCTTATGAATATGCAAACGTGTTTTAATGCGCCGGCTATTTGTTCACGTGGCCCGCAAACGTTAAAACGCACCAAGTTTCCTGCACCACCATTTCCTACCTGTGTTAATAATACGTGTGGGAATCGATCCGAGGTGTACGTGCTCATTGAGCAGGGTGCGTCTATGCGATTGTCGATCGCAGGAATCTGGAACGAACGATCCTAATAGAGGTTAGGGTGCGACCGAGCGAAACTACCCCTCCACTTGGATATATTCCTCTTGGACAGTAATAATGATGTTATAGGGTTGATTGAATCTTTCACGGGGCTGTTTTCAGTTATCGATTATCGATCGATTTTTGGAAAATATACATCCTTATTTTACTTTGCTCTCTAAATTTTATTCGAGTTTATCATTTTCTTGGCTCTTGTTAAAATAGATGTGAATTTGTTCGTTCACTAAAAAAAGATATATTCTACTGTTGGTTCGTTAAACTCGTTTTCTTTATTACAATGCTGTATTTATGTTATTTTATAATTCATATTTGTATAAGTAATAACAATTATTCTTAACTCTTCTTTTTTTAAATTGAAATTTTGAAAACTAATCAAAAATACATATAAAGACATTAACATTAGTCTGTTTTAAAATGTTGTAAATGATCGTTTCGTTTTCAAACATTATCAGCAAGAATTAACCTACAAACTTCCATTGAGCAAATTCACGATTTCAAAAGAATCTCCCCCCCCCCCCCAAAAAAAAAGAAGAAAAAAAAAACAAGTCGTATTTAATCACTTATTTTCAGAAAAACGCGGCTGGACAAAGGCTGCGAATAAAAGGACACGATAAAAATCGGCCGCGACCCCAAAAAACTCTGCCTCGAATCGAAAATAATGAAACGTACAAAACCGACCATTCGAAAATTCTGTTTCCACGATCAAAACCGTGCCCGTGTAAGTGAAATAGAAGCTCTCACAAATATATCCAACACACCCTGTGAAACGATGATAAAATCGATGAAACGCGATAATTCTCGCGAAGGGCGTAAAATTTGTCGTTGACAGGGGGACGAGACGAAGAAAGAATGATTAATCGATGGCTCTCCTGTATTAATTATTGTTTTTCGGTATATATATATATATATCCTCGATTCAGAGAATATTGAAAATGGCAACGAGCCCAAACTTACGAGCCATTTAACATTTTGGATGAAAACCGGTAGTGTACACGTATCCAAAGGGAGGTTCTCGACCCGGCGACAAATGTTTTCGAGGGGTTGTCGAGGAATCGAGGCCGGGGATGACCGCACCGTTTTATGCCGCGGTGGTGATTTTAATTTACTCGTCGGCGAGATAGTGAAAAATTGCTTCGAATCCTGCTGCATTACACTTCGAATGGGAACAAAGGGAACAATGTTCGATTGTTACGCTGGTATAGAGAGTGGAAAATAGGGGAGGAGGTGTTTGAAGGAAGCTACGGTTTATATTATCGCTCTCGCGACGGGTGGGCGGTTTTTGAGCCATGGATCTGGTTTATTGTTCACGCATGTCGTGTACATTATGCCGTGTGAAATTAATTTATTACATTGGATGTATATTATACCAACATGTTTTTGAATTAACCCCTGAGAAAGGGGTAAGATCAAGGAACGCGAGATATATAATATAATTTTAGGAAAAATTGTTATATATATAATGAAGAAGATAGGGATCATTCGAGATAATTTTTATCGAATGTTTCATTTTATTTTCTTTTGTTTTGCGGTGATGATTCGAGAATGAAATAGAATGCCGGAACAAATTTCCATTTTCTTCGCAAAATACAATATCACAACGTAGAATTCAATTCAATTTCAGTCGAAATTTTACATCGTTCACGATATCTGTAATTACTTTTAATCTGCTCGGTATCGCAATTTCCTGCGAAATTCCGTATTTTTGAAAATAAACATCGTGTTATTTCTTTCAATGTGAACGCACACACGCGCGAAACATCGAATGGTATGTCGTTTCGTTTTGGGATATCACCGAGCTTCGACATTGTATCCACTTACAATTCCTAGGGGGGGAGGAGGTTTTACACGATTCGCATCAGGGAGAATCGATAACTGGGAAAATCCGATCCTTTCGCGATGATTTTAACGTACAATGAACGAAACGGTTTAAAAGGACGTAGACTGATCAAACATTAATTGTCGACGCGAGGTAATCGTGTTTGTTAATGCAGTAATCGGCATGTAGGCGATACTATCGATTAAATCACCGACCCAGTATGAAAATCGATTACATTGTTGATCCGTACAAGTACCTATTAATGCCTGGTTTTCTCGAATTGTCGATAGGATTTAACGTTGAAAATCGTGCGTGTTTCAATTACAGGTGATATACGTGATACACATCTTTTCGATCGGTAAATAATCCTGATATTAATAATAACGATACACCAGCATGCATTTCTTATTATTTTTATTTTCATCTTTTTCCATAAATATTGTATCATCTACAATGAATATTTATTATAATATTGTAATATTTACGTAAATATTATATTTTATATCATCTAGTAATATTTCTAGACAAGAGTAATATGTCTTAGAGAATAACAACGTCTCTCTGTATTATCGACTATGAAAATTAGTTTCATAGAGGGACACACCATATAGGTTCAGTTCATCATGGCGACGCGTGACAATTTGAAGTGACTCTTTTCTCATTTTTGTATTTAATATTAATAAAGTGTTTTGTTCAATAAATATTTATATATTCGAGTGAAACATGTGTGATGTGATTCTTAACAATTTCATGTGATTGAAAACTTGATATCGTGCGGACGAGATGTAGGATGTAAAATTTATTCACTTCGTTTCAAGGTAAGAGCATAGGCAAACATTTTCTTGTAATCATTGTATTTTTATTCTATTTTATATTGAGTATATTGAGTCTTGAGATTGGATTTCGAAATAATCCATTCGTTGATTTTTGAAATATCTGTTCGATGTTACAATTATTATATATATATTTCGTATGTGTATCCAGATAGATATATACATATATACATACATACACATATATACATATATACATACATACACATATATATACATATGTACACACACACACACACACACACACACACACACACACACACACATCGTTTTTAACATAACAATTTATATAATTATTCAATTAAATCACATAATATATATTTCACATTTTCGATTTGAATTAGTTTTTATGATAAAATTATTAAATATAAAAAATGAATGAGATTATCTTTTATTCATATCTTTATTCTATCGTGATAACTTCGATATATACATATATAAGAATAATGAATAATCGATAAAATAATAATTGATACTCTTCAAGAGTATCATTTATATATATTTCAATTAAACAGACCAATAAAATATATTTTAAAAAATTTAATACGTTACAAAAATAAATTCCATTTATTTTTTGAACATGAAAAAATATATTAACAGGATCCTGTTAAACTCTATAACAAACTTCACCCGGAAGGATTATAAAATAACAATTTACACTGAAAATTAATACTATGAAACGTAACAAAAATCCTTGACAAAAATTTAAAATTGCACCCTCTGATTCATCGAGATAAATATAGTAGAAAATATACATATTTTTACCATGGGACTTGAATATCAGTTTCAAAGATGTCAAAATTAATAAAATCACGTCGCGAAAATCACAACCAGAAACCAATTTAAATGAAACTTTTGTTCTTTTTTCTTTTTTAATCTTTTTTTTATTTATATTCCAATCCATCACACATGCCATGCGTTAGATTCGAATGTATGATTAGCAAATTTTCCTTTCTCCGATCTTTTTTTCTCTTTATATTATTATTATATTTCCACATTTCGTTCCCTTCATTTTTGTTTCCAATTTAAAGGATTGGTATGACAGCGTTGCACGATTAACTTTTTCGTTCTCGAGGAGAATGGAAGTGGAATGGGGTGAAACGAAAAGTTAGAACCTAACCACAATCGGTGAAAAAGATCGTTTCTCGAGTGGTCTCGTGTAATAAAAATAGTACAATTAACAGAGAAATGGGGTCACGCCGCGTTATATATTCCATGTATTTAAACGTTTCTATACGACCGTAGTGTTTAAAGTGTAAAAATTGGAAGGTCGAGGGATTGAAAATCGAGGGTTGGAAAAAGTTTTAGAAAGTTACGTTTGCAGTTATTTCAGCATCGTTTAATGTTAATTCAATGTAGCTTTCTTGTTATTTTGTCGTAGCGACGTAACTTTGGTTTAATTAGTTCTTTCTTGTGAATTTTTTAAAGGAAGTCGTACAATTTGATTTAAGAAAAAAATATATGTTGAACGTCGTGAACCTGTTTTTTTTATCGAAGTACTTGAACGATATTAATAGAAATTTTTATTCGATAGAAATTGCAGGAATAGCGTCACGTAAATTTATTATACATTTTTCTTTTCTTTCGAGTATTTTAGAAAAGAAATCTTTTTTATTCCAATAATATTTTAATTTAATACTTTCCCTTTAACAATTTTAAATTTCATTTATTCTGTAATTCAACATATTCAATACTAATCTGGTATAAAGGATTAATAACAAGAATTAAGACTCGCATTTCTTTTTTTCTCAAATATCTTTTTGATCGTGTGTCGAACACGTTCTCTGTTCTTTTAAAATTCCTACGAATAATTTAAACGAACGAAAATTGTGAAAAAATGAATACACGATAAAATGAAAACAAGACAAATTACACGTGCGATAAGGATCGAGAAAGAACGATCATAAATAGAGTCGCAGAAAGGGAACAGAGCCTCACAAAATAAGCTCACAACCCGTTCAAATCCAACAGCACAAGAAACACAAACGAAACAAGAGAGAAATGTATCGAACGTAAGAGGCAAGAAATATGTATCAATCATTTCTATCAGAGAAAGAAAAAATTGGAAAACGACCAAGAATTAACAAGAACGGATGAGAAAGCGGAAGAAAATTCGTGGGAAGAAAGGGTGAAAAGGGGAAACGAGAGGAATGAATGGTGCACAGGGGGTGGATTTTTTTTTATGAAAAGCAAGGATTAGATTTACCAAACAGGGTCAGAGGTACGCGTAAGGAATGAAAGGAGAGCGAAATGGAAGTGGGCAGTAAAATTCACTTAGCGCATCGGCCGGATGAAAAGAAAACTAAATGAAAATGGTTGTTTGCGGTGGTAAAAGCGGCTGAAAGTTGCCGCAAACAATGGCGGGGGAACATTTAAAACGGGCCTCCGCGGAGGAGATCGGGCAGGTGGCCGGGATAAAGGTGCCTCGATTTTCCAGAGACGACCGTTTTTTCGCGAATCCGCGAAAGAAAAAAACTACCAGCGCCCGATGTTCGACTGCAAAAGCGGGCGAAAGAAAGAGGATAGGGAAGCAAGAGAGGAGGAGAAAGATTGAACGGATTCACGAGGCGAGGTTATTGAAAACCAGCCGTTTATTCTTTCTGTACGTACTGTGGAAAGTACGTTACACGATCGTTTGTTTTTTTCCACGATCTTTTCTAAATATCCCCTGGTATTTCGGGGAATTTTTAGTCAAGGAACGGTGATCAGCGGAGGACAATAGAGGCTTTTGAGAATTGATAGCCTCTTTTAATTTTCCATTGAGTATCGATGCAGAGAAAACGGTTGGTTCGAGTTTAATAGAAATCTAAGTTGATTTACGGATAACAATTTTAATTATTAGTACACGTTATCATAGTAATTAAAAAACAAATAAAAATTCAGAGAGATAGATTCATAGAAGAAGAAAATAAAATAACTGTTATTTTTTAAAGATTTATAACAACAAATAGCTTCTCCAATCACTATCCACAATTTTCAATCGACGAATATCTCTGATATATTTTATACATTTCAACTCGCATAAATTGAGTATCGTACACGACGATATCATATGCCTAGCGCAGCCGCAAACCACGTCTTAATTCACGTCGACTAATTATGTCATGTTTGTCTCCACGGTGCGTGAATGTAACCAACCGACCCGTCCATTAGCCGCTCGTCTGGAATTGAAATCACGCGGTTCGCTGTATTTATGACGACATAACTAATACTTGATAAATCCGCGCATCCCGCTCTATCAACGATCCAACGTCGATCGATCGACAACGCGCCTCTCCATCGTGAAAATTTTATGCAAACCCTCGCCGAGACTCTCTAGAAAGCTTAATGCCTTCGTTCCCGAGGTTGCAGCAGAGGTCGTAAAGTGCTGCTTCTTACTAATTTGCAGAGTCAATAAGCGTCGAGAGGCGCGCCTCCGCGAATATTTGCGATCGGTTACAATTTGTCGAGGATTTTATGACGGGAGGAGGGGGACGAGTGGAGTGGAAACGAATGGAAAAATGAAAGGTGAATTCGAAGATGGCGAGATTGGTACGCTTTACGATGATGGGCAGGTGCTTTAAGTCTTGAAAGCGTTTTGATTGCATTGTTACGAATCACGGGACTCCTCGCGTTTTATGCTTGGCTTTTGAGCCGTATTGCCTTGTGACGCGATTTTGTGATCCAAGGCTTTTCGTGAATAACGCGAACGGGATCGGATCGTTAGTACATGGATTTTTTAAGCGGTTCGGTCTCGAGTATCTTTCGCGATGGAATTTGCTTGCTTTTGAAACGGATATTGTTTCATCTTCGAGTGAAGAGTCTTTGATGAATCAGATCGAGTGGTGTTGGTCATCAATTTTCTTCAATAATATTGATATATCGATATATAAATTTTCCAATTTCCATTGGTAGTGAAAATTTTTATGGGATACACTTCTGTACTTCTTCTGCGGATTATAATTATAAAGAAGTTTAGGCTAAATCGAAAAATAAAAAAAAACTCGAAAAAATTTAAATATTCGTTTCCAATTCATTCTCATTAATTTTTTTAACAAGTAATTGATCAATTATCGTGATTAAAAATCGTTAATATATTCAACGAAAAACAATTCAGAATCTACGTCTGTTCAACGCGAAGTATACGATAGAATTTTCTTGCAATTTTATTCAAACAACGATACCTCTTAAGAAATCATATAGCTCACAAAAGAAGACACTCCTCCACAATTTTCAATCAAGAAACCAACCACACGAACACGATCAATTCACTCGGTACAGAGTAACAAAAATCCTGTCCTCATTAATTAATTCCACCTTACCTCGCTTCAGACTTAGCCACGAATTCCACCCAACGTTTTTCTCCAACCAACCCCCTTCCCGCTCGAACTCTTCACAATTCCCTTGTTATTAACACCGCGTCCCGTCGCGCATGAAAAAAAGAACCTCGGATCGCGACGATCCCTGAAAACCGGTCTCGTCTCAAATTTAATAACCAAACGTGGTCGCGCCACGAGGAAGGGAGGAGGGAGTGGTGGGCGAACAAAAGGAGAAACGCTCGAAACCGGGAAGGAAAAAAAAAAAAGAGAAGGGTGAGATGGGAGAAGTTGGAGAGGCGCTTCCACGAGGATGACTCGAAAACTTTATCACCGACAGGATGAGGGTGAGAAAGAGAGGGGGAGCAGAGAGGAGAAGGCAGAGGCAGCCATACATTAATTACTCGGATGTTATATGCATGCTGATGGGATACATATGTATGAGCACTTGTAAGTAAAGTCGTGTGCACCGCGTACGCGCGTCGCCTTGGGCCCAGGATATACCCTCGGGAGGGACGGTTCCGCCATCGAGATTTCAACGTTTCTGTTGCGGCTCGGTCCGTTTAGACAGGCGAAGAACTGGAAGGATATTTGGGGCGAAGCGAGACGTTTCTCCGTGATCCTTTATTCCGTGGATGGCGGAGACCCGGAGGGAAAACGCGCGAAATTTGAAAGGATGGAGATGGTGGGTCTTGGGAACTTGGGGTCGATTCTTAAGGAAGTTCTGATCGTACGATTGTGAAAGTGCAGAGCGTTGAATATTGAAAGGAATATTGATATGAAGGAATCGAAGAGATATGGTTTTACAGATAGAATTTAATATTTCTCGAAATTTGAAAAATCGAAAGATAGAGTAATGATGTACGAGAAAAATGAAGTTGTATACGAATATAATTGTATTTGAATAGTTAAAAATAAAAAGAAGAAATTTGAATGACGAACGAACGACATCGAATATCGTGACGTAAAATTTCCATAAAAAGTAATAAACCTCAACACGCGAGGAAGCGATATTATACACGAAGCCTGATACATTCGTAGCAATATAAAAAGATTAACGTCTCTCATTGTTTGCCAGGATCCATTTAACAAGGATTTCGCATCGAGATTTACCGTCCCTCTTTTTTTTTTCCTCTCTCTCTCACGGAGGAACTGTACAAGCACAGTCATAAGGTAAACTGAATAACGCGCGTTTATCGCGAGAATCGAAAGTAATATGTGTTCATGGCCAGTCGTTGAGCCGGTTTCTTCCTTTTGTCGATCGTTGGATCCCCCCCCCCCACGATTCGATATCCACACTCGATCGAACGGTTTGTAATCGCAGCTGTGACATTTCAGTTAATCCCGTTCGGATAATGTCGAACAAAAGCATCGGTTAATTTATGGTTCAAAGAGTTATTGGCGCGAAAACACCCAGTTCGGACGCGGCTATTGCGGAAATAAAAGTTGTTATTAGGGCACAAATCGATTCTTAGACCATGCTTGATAATTCGAATCCTTGATAATTTGAATTTTGGGAATTTCAACGGAATGGCTGTTATGTGTATAACTAGGCTGAATTTGTTTTGTTTAAAATTAATTCGTTGTAATATTCTTCGTGTATTATAAATTTTGTATTCCTCCATACAAAAAAGAAGTTTCTTGCTAAAAAAGATCGTTGAAAATTTATAGATTAAATCATCGTTGTTCAATACGCTGCGAAAACAGAGGAAGATTTTTCACGCTCGAAGAGCATAAGATTATTCTCTTGAATTTTCCTTGAAAAATTCAATTTCACGT